CTATATATATATATATATATATATATATATTACAAGTTAACAGTCACAGATCAATAATTCAACCTAATTTCTTCATTAAGAATCAGTGAATTGATGGCGGAGTGCATGACCTTTAATTCTCCACAGACACCTGTCTGGGTGCTGATTTTTTGCCATGGCATAGTGGCTCATAGAATGGCAGAGTTTTTTTTCAAGTACAAACTTTTGGCTCGTAGCTCCATCTCTTGACCGATTTGAGATCTAATTACAGCCCCAGTTATTGAGGATTCCCTCTTGTTTACAGTATGATTGTTTGTAGGCAACACATTAACTACTCAGTGTTCAGAACTATATTTCCTAGTACTGTTATCTTAACAAGGTAGGCAAGTGACAGCAGGTCAGTAGCCTATTGGAATGAGGTTGCCATTTTTAATGTGAGTACATATTGGCCAGTAGGGTGTATAGTTATCATACCTGGTGCAGGACCTTACACTGATCAGTCCTTTTCATAACCAGTAACTAGGCATCTTGTTGTTTTCACCCTCTAGTAACGTAGTGTGGCAAAGTGTCCCCTCTGCTTGATGATCTGTCAACCTACCCAATATATATGACATTTTATTGTACAGCTTGCAGTTTTAAGTTGTGTTGGTCATTAATTCCACATCCAGAGATTTGCCCACCCTAATGTTGTATACAACTCTGCTCCCAGGTGGTTAACACTGGGACTGAGCTTACCAATAGATTGGTTTTTGTCTTGGATTAATGGCAGTATATATTCTAAAAATAAACTATACTAACTAACATTTGCTATAATCCTGTACTTGTACTTGCAATTCAACTCATGATAGCTTTAATATAATTAAAATTGAACACTATAGCTATAGCCAAACTATAGTGACACTGTACTAGACTTATAAATGAACACATGGTAACACTGTATGTAGGAAACAAAACGTAATCTACATGTACATAATATACCTATAACTTAGTAGTTGGTGAGAGTGTAATTAACTGTCATGTCTGATAATGTGTGAAATAGTACTAGTTAATAGAACTAAGAAATTTCTGAACAATTTGTAGACCATTATAAATATTAGATTATGTGAAGCTGATTAACATGCTAGAGAAGTTTAGCACCACGCCACCACCAAAGCATAGGCTTGCCTCCCTACAATAATAGTCATGTTGCAGCATACAGTCTAGGTGGTATGACTTCAAACCACTAATAACATGGAGGCAAATGGCTGGCAGCAACAACTTACTTTCTTATTAATATGTGTACGTATATCATTTATTTTATTTAATATTATTATTACATATCAACACCAAGATTCCAATGTGAAAAAGCCAAAGGACTAGCAATACCACTGTATGAAGATTATAAATGAGGCTCTAATGCAATATATTCACATTAAGCGCCATATAAGCCTCTTCATGGAAAGGGACCATACTTCATGCAAATTATACACGTACATTAAGCTTATAAGAAACTTCATATGTACTTCGTGGTTTATTTTCCTGGAGATAGTGGAAATATTTCCACTGAAACATGTAGAGTTTTTAAAGTTTCTTTAAACTTGTATTTTTTAAACTGTAAAAATAAATTGTTGTAGAAGTAAAAAAAAAAAAACATTGACGTCTCGTTTTATTTAAAAAGTATGTAATCTAGTAACTAACGTGGAACGGATGTAGTTCCTGTCTAGTTCACGTGATAGATTAATAAAGCTATTTGTGCGTCATGAAACGTGTAAACCAGACAGTGGATTGTTTTTTATAAATAATATTAAGATGGTGACCTTGTAAAGACTAACTGTAAAGGTTTAGATAACATAAGCAAATACTGTTTTACGAATAAGGCCTGATAACTCAAGTCATTATTATTAATCACTCCAAAAAGTGGTATTGGTGATTTCTTTAAACTGTGTGTTCTGTTAAGGTAAGCTCACGATATTAAACATATTTTAAGTTTAACTAAACTAAGTTTATTACTTAAGTATTTTAAAATTATGCCTAACGTTAGTTCAAGTTCAACCATAGTTGCTTACAAATACGTTATATTTTCCCTAAGCTAATCACCATTTTGTTCGTGCATTCATATTGTAATACAAAACTCTTGTACTTTTGGAGTTGTACCTGAACTTTATGGCTATATGATAATAATAAATTCCAAAACCGAAAAACTAAACACACCATTTCATACCTAAGACTTGAGTTAACATCAGATGTTTAGACCGTGATACTAATATAAACATAGCAGAATTTAACACAGTGAGCGTTCATGTGTATGTAAAGGTGGGAAGAACGTAAAGAAGAAAGAAAGGTTATAAATCTGAACTGAACACAACCTAATCGCTCTTGGGAGGTGGGTAGTTACCGCAGGAAAACTATATAAAAGTGGAAAGGTAATATACACCTGGAAAAAAGTTAAGCACCCCCAAATATTTTTCAGGATTGCTTATT